CTGCATCCAAACAGTCTGCAAGAGAGTAACAATCCATTTATGTTTGTATTTCTTGTAAGACATTACCAAAACTCACACATTTTTTCATATTCAAGCTGTAAAAAAAACTTGAGGGTTTAAAAAACTGAATATCGGAGGAAGACTGATCCATTCTAGAGTTAAAATTCTGGATGTTTAACCACACTAGGTTGAACCACTCTGTAGTCCATATTTTCCTTCTAAAGTATTAATTATACTGGTACAGAACATTTCCTCCAATGAGTTCCGGGCAGTGTCCCTGTTAGGCAGGCCAGGCTGAGTGAGAGTGATTGTCAAAGTTATCCAGTGCATTTTTGTGGCTGGCTGAAGACCAGAACCAAGTCCCACACGGCAACATTGCACTGACTATAATGGTTTCCATATTTCCATCCTAAATCCCTGTTCCACATCTTTAAGAACTACAGGTAGGCACAACACAGCTTTCCCAGCTCCACCATTTGAATGTAGAGAATGCTAATACTGTATTCTCAAATATTCTCAAACAATACATTTAGAAAAAATGATGGCAGTTTTCAACCCTATTCATGTACGGATATGCCCATCACACACAGAGGATTGATCTTCTAAGTAAATTATGTGCAGGATTTACCTAAATGCTCCCTAGTATATTTGTGCCCCATAATCCCACCTGGCTCTGAAGTTTTGCATGAGGCAGGTGCAGCTGGAAGATATTACAAAAGCCCAACACAAGAGACAGAAACCACTCTTAAAAAAGGAGGTGTGGGAACCATACATGTTAGATAGCTAGTGGAGTCATAAACTGTAGATCAGGACTAGCATACATCATGTGCATTGGGAATCAGCTCCTGAGTTTGGATGATGTCATCGTGTATCTCACCAGAACTATGCATGGAGCCTACGCGGCAAGTTATACATTATTATTTTATGCCCTTTAATCACCCAAGCCAAGCAAGTCTAAGGTTATGAATATTTATGACTCAGCTTGCCAAAGTAAAAGAGCGAAACAAAAGGGAACATACAGGCCAGGTTTGAAAGGCTTTTAGTTGTACTCAAGGCTCAGTTATGCCTGTTGAGAGGGCTAAAAAAAATTACCCTGCCCCTGGTACTCCATACCTCTCCAAATCACATTTAAAGTTCTATCAGTGCCCATATATAACCTCTGACTCCCCTTCGGCAACATGGAAATACTTTTGTGGCTTTTTGCATCATAATCCTACCAACTGTTTCACTCCAAAATATAGAATAGCTTAGTAACTACCGTTCCTCTTTTCCACTAAGGCTGCTGTCCTTCATATGACCATCTTCACACAAATGCTGCTGCTTACTGTTTTTAAAATGCACAGCATATGAAGAAATATTGCAATTAGGCCCTCCCAACATTTCTCAGCACAGCACAAAAGGCATGTGATCTGCACATTTCTGATTTATCCTTTACCATAAAGGCTGCGTTTACTAACTCAAACAATATTAACAGTGAAAGAAGCTAGCAGCACACTCCTTTGTTTAGGAAATATATTAATTAGAAACAGGAATACTTGATCTAAAAGTAGGCTTTTCATGACTGGTGGTCTGAGAAGGGTTTTAAATGGATAGTTGTGCTCTCTTGTTTAAATGTGTCCTAATATTTATCTTAATTAGCATTTTAATATAATATTCATTTAATTCTTTCTTAATATTTGCATGCTTACTGTTCTTAGCTTTTAAATAGTGTTTTAATGTGTAAGCTGACTTGGGTCCTTTCATCAGGCAGGAAATAAATAAATAAATAAATAAATAAATAAATAAATAAATAAATAAATAAATAAATAAATAAATAAATAAATAAATTTAAACTGAAACATATTGATATAAGATTATCAAAAGAATCTCAATAATACATGAAATAGTGTCATTTAAACTTAGTGGAACAACAGCATTAACACAAGTGGAATACAGAAGCGCTGTAACTCTTACTTAAATTTGGCATACCAAACTGGATTTGGGTTGGGAGAAGCAGAGCTTACAATGGCTGAAATCCTGCAGCACAGTTCCATGTGCGCAATGGGGATGATGTCATCACTGGTGGCAAATTGCTCCTGATTAAAGGCAGGCCACCACTGATTATAGACAATCTTGAGATGCACACGATTTGTCCATTCTGAAATTGCTAAAGGGAGCCTTTAATCATCATTGTGCATACAGAGCTGCACATCAGGGTTTTCAGCCACTGTAAACTGTATATATACGAGAACTAACACAAACCCTTTCTCATTTCAGTGTTGTCAAAGTGAAGCTTTTATGGTCTTCTCCAGAATGAATGTCTGTAACGCCAAATAAAACAAAACATGAGAACTGTTAGTTAAACACTACTTTGCTTTCACCTCCAAAGGCTGACATAAAACCTCTTTGTTTTTCCCAGGACTGGAAGAGTAAACTCACACTCCCCCAGCTCTGTACAACTGACAATCCACATCAAAAGGACAAGAGGGAACTCAACATCATTTGATCTGGAACTCTGTAAGTGTCAGGCTGACAGTATAACTGGCAGTACCCACTAACTAAAACTTAGATAATGACTCTATTTCTGTAGAACCCTTGTATGCAGATCAGAACTATCCTAAACATACCTTTCCATGGGCTCACTTGACATCTCTGTTGCACACTCTGTTATAATGATCTGTCATAAGTCCAGTTCACAGAACTATAGTTCTTAAAAACGAAAGTTAGTGGGGCATGGAGAAAAGTGATGACTACATAAATGCGAATTGTTTGTATTAGGTATAAGGTGGTCGCAATTTAAGTTTGTAAGAGGCACACATTTGAAGTATTTAGGAGGATCTGCCACAAAGCAATATTAATACATTCTTCCTGGGAGATGGGGAGAACAATCCAGTATTTTATTACCAAAGCAACGACTGAAAAAAAATTAGTACGTATCTTTTCCACTTCTATGTATACATTCAGTTTAGAAACTACACTGCTGGGAAGAGACACCCCCCACACTTTATTCAGTTCTCTAGATCCTTCAAACAAATTTCCAACATTCTCTCATCTAAGGCATTAAGTAACAGATGCTTTGTACACACATTATAGGAATGAGTGACTGAAAATAAAACTTGCTAACAACAATGACTTCAAAAGTGGTACGTTTGAACTGGTGCCTCAAATACAGCTCATACTACAAAACAAGTCCTCTGGATTTAGTAAAAACCCATGCATGTAACAGCTAGCCTTGAAATAGTTTATAGTTTTCCATATTCACTAGTGAATCATTTTGAAGATCAATAGCAATTATTAAAATAGAGACTGCATTACCTTGGCCATTAAAAAGGGTTCTTGAGGTCAAAGAATATTGCTTTAATAAATGCCTTCTATAAATATACTTTTCCTCTTTGAACATCAAAGATATCCATACTGAAGTCCTCTGTGCACTAGATACGCATTGTATGTTACTACCTGAAATTGTGAAGTCCTATTACTACAAGTATAAGCTATTGTCCTCAACAAAAGGGAATATCAGCTCAACACAAAGTGTAGCACACAAAGGTGCAGAATAAAAAAAAACTAAAAACAGAATAGAAGGCATGTAACTGAAGCATTCAATAATCACAGTGAGCAATTTGTTTTATCAGGTTTAGAAATCCTATCCCCTCCAATTCTCTTCCCCTTGCTTTACAAATTTAACATAGAAACAAAGCTAATTCTATTGCTGCATAGCTCAAATTTACAATAGTCTGGAGTCTAAACAGAACCCAGGAAGAAGTATAGAGCTCAGTTGATTGATTGGAAACTTAGAACTCTCACAAAGATTGTACTGAAGAGGTCATCTGACTCACAGCCAAACAAACACACAACCTTTCAAAAATAATGGGGTACTGGAAAGTACAGTGTTATGCACATATACTCATGGAACTATGTTCTGCAACAATGAACAAATGCAGATTTTTAATGCAAAAGCTGTATAAAGCAATTGTGATTTGGTAGGTGCAATTTTAATGTTTTTTAACTCAATATTAGCTATTACATTGAATTGGGGGGAAGCGTAATTTAAAGAGAACTCCCCCCTCAACATTTCAGCTCATCCGTTTTCAATTATAAAAGCACAGAATGGTTTTTTTAAAAAGATATATGTTCTCTGTTTATTTTTTAAAGGCCTTTTAAAGACTTTTGGAAAAATAGGTTGGGGATTCAACTTTAGTATAAACATGTCGATGACAATGATGATGTCAGAACAGTTCAGACAAAGAATATTAAGAACCGAGGACACAGGAACAGAAATTCTAAAAGTGGCCACGGCTGGTGACAAAATTCTACTGGACGGAATATTAAAAAAAGGGGGACAGTTTTCCTTTTCTATCCTGAAAACCCTTTTAGAAGGCAGCTGGACAGAACAAGAAAATAAAGCTCTTAAACCGCAGCACAAAGGAATAATAAGCTTGCTTTGTTTTGCCGTTTTTTTTTTACCCTGTCGTTAATGTCTGCTTCGTTAACCTGACCAACGAAGGAACGTATCCAGAGTCTTAGAAAAAGTCGTCTTGCTCCATTCCTCCTGACTTCTCCCCACACTTAAAAAAAATAAAAA